GACACGCTGACCAGCTGTGCGCTTGTCTAATTGTACGAAGCTCGACTGTGCTGGACTCTGAACCTTGGACATCACACAGTCACGAACCGCATTCCCACTAGGCAGCTGCACAGTTGTCGGACTTCACATCTTAACGTCCACCAGCAGGGTGGTCCCTTATGCATTGGCCCCCTAAGAGGAGAAGGATCACCCGAAAAGAGGGCAAAACAGGACAGAGATTTCCACAAAAGTGGCACCTGCCGATACCTAGAAATAATGAGTGGAGCCCTACTGCATCCCGAACCTGATCGCATCCTGGCATTTGGAAAATAACTAGTCGGGAGCATTTCTGGAACAGGTCAGGTTAGTGGAGCTCCCAGAACGAGCTCTGCCGACCTGTCCTGAGCTGGCAGCAAGTGGAAATGCCAGTTTCCAGGGCTCTGTCAGAAGCAGCAGCACCTGATTGAGGTGGATCGCGCGAACACGGCCGGATCAGGGGCGGCAGAGCGGCCCGGTTGGATGGTGCCAGAAGGCGGTTGCTCGCGGAGCATTGCGACACGGCAAGACTGACCAGGCGACCCACGGGATCTGGGTGCCAGCCCCACTGTCCCTTTCTTATGGGCCTTTACCTTTGACCTAGGCTTGGCCCAGACAGTCCTGTCAGTAGAGGTCACCCTTGCGTAGAGCTCTGTCTCAGGGCACCTACCACCTGACATTCATAAAAGACTTCAAAGAGCAGAAGGACACTGAAACAGTAATGGATTAAGCACTGCAATTAACTGATGAATGGACGGAGAGGAGATTTAAAAGCAAAATTAAAAAAAAAAAAAACCCGGCAAGGTTTTTAATCAGTGGTGCATTCCTGGGTCCTTCCCACTTTTGTCATCAAGACTGGAACCGCTGCGTGGCCTTCTCCTCCCGTCTTCAGCTGTGCCACCCATTTCCTCTCTGTCATTTAACGAGACACATGGCAGGTTTGCAACTCCAGGGCTTGTTTTGCAAGCCAGGCAGGGCGGCTAAAAGAGCAGGGAGGGCGAGGGAGCCAGGCAGCCCAGAGATCCTGCACGGGGCATCCTTCTCTCCCGTACGGAAGCCCAAGGCTGGCCTCCAGCGTGGTGCTGCTCCGCACTCAGATGCCTTTTCCCACATCTCTTCCAGCACAAGAAAGGCCACGGGCAGATGATTCACAAACAAAGCTCAGGTTGTTCCCATTCTGTGCATGAAGAAACCTGAGAAAGCTGGTAAGCTCTTATTTAAGCAATGCCCGTCTGTGCCGGCCCACTTCAATCAGCCCAGCTAATCCCAGCATGGAGAGACCACGGAGAGGTTCCTGCCTGCTGTGTAGCTGTTTAAAGGTGAGGAGCCCATCGGACAAAAAGAGGTGGCAACTCTGATGCCCTACAGCTCCACAAAAACGGCCGCATGCACGAGGATTCAAAAGCAGGCTTTGGAGAATGACAGCCAGGAGAGATCCATCGGTCGGTTTTGCTTTCTACGCGTAAGAATTGTTTAACATCTCAAGTTCTTTCAGTCCTGTTTATGGAGGAAATTGTGAATTCTGGAACATTCTTACAATTGCCTCCAAACCGAACAGACATCTCACCCCAAAAGGAAAAAAAAAACAGGGGCAAAACAGAGTTTGTGATTTTCCAGGGGCACAAATGAAGGTCTGCTCCTGGTAAAAAGGGACAGATGGAGCACATTTAAGCATCCTTCTCCTCGTCGCAACTGTACAATAAATCATCAGATGTTGTTACTGGGGTGCTGCAGCCTTGCTTTTATTTACATTTTTAATTCAGTAATTTAATGACAGGGCTTGTATGCTTTCTGAACTAAACATGGCTGTTGCGTTACTTTGCATTTCAGTTGAAAAAGGACCCTGGAGCACCTTAAAAATATCAAGAGTAAGGTCTGCAAAACCAAAAAGATGCCACAGAAGAAGAAAAGGCACACGGAGGGAAGAGGACAGCTGGCACACGCAGGTCCTGGGCTTAGTGACCAAGTCCGTCTAAGTGTTCTTGGGGGCAGCAGGGTGGCGAGCCAGCCTCCTCCGCTGCTTTGTTCTGAGGAACCCCACTAGATGCTGCCCTTGAAAGCAAGGTTCCTGGGGGTGGCCCATGCACTTATGAATGAGAGGAAATATATCACCAAAAGTGTGTGTGTGGGCGAGGGATCCCAATTTGCATTAAAAGGTGTCTACTACATGTGATTTCATGAGAACGGATGAGCCCTTGGAAGTTGTTATAATTTTAAAAGAAATATAGACTATCTCACATGGAGGTTGCCTCTCCTTTCTGCATTATCACCTCTTGCTTTCTTGGAAAAGGCTGGTGAACAGGGAACACTGGCCAGAAGGATGAGGAAAGGAAGAGCTGGGGCAAGGTGGCTTCAGAGCTTTGCAAAGTTTCTATCCCTCAAGGAGGCTTGGTAAGTGGTCAGTGGCCTAACTGACACATGAATGTGCAGCTGCAGCTAGGTGTCCACTTGCAAATCTCCAAAAAAGAGGAGATGCGTCACCAAAAAAGGGAGGAGAGAGGTTTGTATAACATTTGCATATGTTAATCAGCATCATCTAAACAGGAAAAAACCCCTAGAACATCCCACCATTGCATGGGGGATGGTGGTGAGTTGAGCCCCCCTCTGCCTGCTCGGTCTGTCATCTGGGAGCTGAGCACGACTGGACCCCACTCCTCTGGCTTTGAAATCGGACAGGACGGCCCATCAAGCAGAGGAGAGCCCTCAGTGGAAAGCTGGCCAGCCACAAGCATACTGCACTGCTGCGCTTGCGGGAAAGACATACCCCCCCACGCCGCAGATGGCAGAGGCGAGAGATCCATCTCCACGGAAAAGCACCTGGGCCTTTTGGCCGCAGGCAGTTCGCACACTGGGCTGCAGACAAGCGAGGGGCACAGAATCCAGCAGTGAAAAGTCCAGCCAGCCCTGAACATGCACAGGTGAGCTGGGCCTGCCACCTGCCGCCATGGAGGCTTCTGTCTCCTTGCCGGCCAGGTGTGTCTGGTGCAGCCTCCTGAAGGCCATGTTCTAATGGCAGTTGCCCAATTTCAGACTGGAAGCAGAAGAAAGTCACGAGAGGGTGGTGGGGTGGAACTCCTCTTTGCACAGGAAGATGCCAAAACAAAGATGGGTCACCCACAAGCTCAAACTGCCAGAAACTCACAAGATTATAGCAGGCTGATCTCACATACAGCAGCTCATCAGCCTATCAGGCAGATCTTTAATTTCCGTCCTGTGTTGAAACGCAGAAGAGGAGCTGGGGATGATTCACCGCTGAAGCCGGGCCAATGCTAACAAATTTGCTAAGTGCTCTAAATGGTGGACCCCACTGCATGGACTCCAGAGGAAGCCAGCGAGCTTATTAGCCGTGGGGAGTCTGGGAAACATCACCATGCCTTCTTTCGAAGGCAGAAGCTGCACAGCCATTCTTGCATAAATAAAATAGGTCTGTATCGAGTGAATCGGCACCAATATTACATGCCACCACTAAGACTACAGTGACTTCTGGCAGGAAACCAAACCTGGGTACACTCTGTGCCTCTGGAATTTCTCACTGCTCTGAGAAGCAGAACATAAGCGCACCGAGGAGGAGGTTCAACAAATCTGTTCATTTCTCTCTCGGTTTATGAAATTTTCCCAATCTTGCATTCCTCTCTTCCCACCCCACAGGATAATCATTCCACTCTTAAATTCAGTTTGCCTTGATCTTCAAGACTTTTTAAAAGGTTTACATGAAAAGTTGCACCACTTTTCGTGTGTGTTTCTCCCAGTACCTATGGAAATCTGCGCAATATGTACATTTTTTGCATTTTACACAACAGGGGCAATTTGGCATGCATCTTTAAAATACTCCAACATCAAGAGAAGTGCAAATTTTGAAGTATAACCGTATTTCAAAACATGCATTGGTTTGAAAGTGCAAAATCAGGTTTGATTGCATTAAAATGTGAACTGAAAGAATTCTCGCCATCTATCCTCAGGAGCACTTTTTAATTTATTAGTACATTTATTATCCTGCCTTTTTCCCTCCAAGGAACCCAAGCAGGCTTGGATGGTCCTCCTCGTTCCCTCCATTTTATCTGGACAACAGCCCTTTGAGGTAGATCAGGTGAGTCAGTGACTGGCCAAATGGCACTGAGTGAGCTTCATGACTGAGGGGGGACTTAAACACACATCTCCTGCATCCTGGTCCAGCACTCTAACTACTGTGACACATGGGTTCTCCGTGATGCCACACTGTCTGTACTGAAAGACAGGAATGTCTGTCTGTTCCTGGACTGAGGTCTGGACATCTTACGTCCAACACTAACCACTACTTCCCACTGCCTCTCTTATCACAGCTGATACAGAGAATACACTCCTGTGCTGCACACGGAAAACACATGGCTGGGCTGTGGAGAAGTTCCCTGAAGGGGGATGCAAACCACACCACCCCGAAGTCAATGTGCTCAGGCTCCCAGCAAGTTTGGGAATCCTGGGTGGGCCGAGGAAGTCCCCATACTGCACACACTCCAACTAACATATGCCCTGGAGACTGAACATGGAGAGACGGAGGGGTGAACAAACATTGTCGGCAGTGCTGACATGCCAGTTACCTGATGGTGTGCCACAGATCTGGAAAACGGCTTAGTATCAGAGGAGCACTGGTGGTAGAAAGAGGTAGAGAACCTGGGGGGCCTGAGAACGTTCAAAGCTCCTTCTCTCAGTGATCAGCTCTCATTTAACCTCAGCCCACCCCTAACAAGAACAGTAAATTGGCAGTACTCATACTTATGTGGATTTAAGAAACATTGTGCACGCAGAATTCTATCCAGATGCGGTGCTGGGGGTGGGCAATGCAGCGATCCCACCCCGCCTGCCCTGCTGCCTGGTGGCATCTCTCCAACCCAGGCGAGGCCAAGCCCAGCTGTATCGCCACATCCATTGGGCCACATACACAAGACATCAATGCAAGGACGGTCGCTGGTGCACACGCCTCCCAGCCCGAAAGACAAGACCCGACTTACTTCTTGGTTCCCGGGGTCCGTCGACGGTCACTTTGATGGCACGGTGATATGTTGCTACCTGTGTCGGGTTGGTGAAGACTGTGATTGTCAACGTAAAGCTTTTTCCTAAAGGGTGAGCGGAAAAACCAGTGAAGAGCATAAATTAGCACAGGGCCCAGAACTGGCTGACATTCATATATATTAAAAGAGCAGTTTGCTGTTGCTTCATGGCACCCAGAATCATTCCCCTGAGGCAGAAGTGTCACACAGTCTTCCCTCGACAGCTGATCACATGAGCCTGCTCTGTGGATACGTCCTTGTGCTAGAAGACCCTCTGCACATCCCTAGAGGCAGCCCTTCTTTCTGCAGTGAGTCCCAGGCCTCAAAGTGAGGCCTATCCTGAGCTCAGCCTAAATTCAGGCAGAGTTGGGCAATGCGGCCTGCCCTCCACTGGGCCACTGGCAGCTCCTGCTGGCCACCCAGGAGTGGCCGGCCGGCTCGTGTTCCAGCAGCCTCCTCGGATGCGAGCGGGACGAGGCTGTCCGTTGCCTCTGCTCCACGGCCATCCATCACCTGCCCACCTGCTGATGCTATCAGGCCGCCTCCTATGGGCAGTGGCTCACACCCCGTGTCAGCAAAGGAAGCTGCGGCTTCGTGGTTCGAGAGCAGGGCTTCCGAGCCCCCCAAGCCCCTTCCGAGGGCTCCTGCGATCTGCTTCCTGTTCTGGAGCCAACGGCTGTTGCCCGGCGGCTTCCAGCTGCATCACACGTGGCAACTCGCTGGGGGTCCAAGGGAAGTCGGGTGTCACCCTGCGTGCCTCTGCATGACGCGGGGCGCATGGGCAGCAGAGTGGAGGGCCGCAGTGGCTGTCCGAGCGCTGGATTTTGCTGCAGCTCCCCGGGGAGTGTGGCAGCCGAGCTGCCCTTGCCTCGCCGTGGCACAGCAGCATGGTCCCGGGGTTTGGGCACCCCTGCCATAAGCCTCGTGTAGCAAGTAATGGGGAAAAGCCCTCTCTTTGCCTGAGACCCTGGAATCCGAGCTTGTAGAGGGCAGTTTCTTACCTATGGGTGCAAACGAGCAGTTTCCGCTACACTGTGCACTGGCATAATATTGAATCTTTGCATAGTTTCTCTGTTCCCTGCACACTGAAAAATAGCTCCTCAGGGAAAGCCCTTCTCTTCCCCCGCCCCCCAATGACAGGTTAGATTTCTGCATGCAGGGTGACTGACTTTCAGCATGTGCCAGCATATGTGCGCACACATGCTAAGACTTCTACCCTACACACACACATATATATCTCCAACCTGAAATGGTACCGTCCAAGAAAGTAACGTTATCACTGCTGAATACAAACCCTGGCAGGCAGGAATGTTTATAGGAGTTCAGAGAAATCTGCCTCATGTATGGGATTATCTTGCAGTGACAGGGTTCAGGGCTTTTAGCACACTCATGCTCGAATGGGATGGGTGAAATATGTGTTTGAGTCACACTTCCTGATCTGAGCATGACTGAAAATATACCTTGCCACATAAATCCATTCATTTCCAGAATTTGTAGTGCAGTTTGCAAAACATTGTGTACCCTTCCTTTAAAAATGCACACCAAGGATGTTTATTTCTAACTCCCCTCTCACCCACTGCTGCTCTAAAGGTATGTACATTTTGCAGAAAGGAACACTTAAACGTTTTAGTCAAAGAAGAACAATGTTGCGAAAGGACAACAGCGTGGTCCCTTTTTCAATCTGAGAGCAGGCAAAAAATTTGCACTTCTAGAAAACTGTGCATCAAAATGCACACAACCCTTGGAGCAAACATGCAAAAATAATTGTACCCCAGGGAAAATTAGGACTGGATGAACAAAGGACTGGAAAAATGAGAACCTGAGCAAAGTCAAGCTGGATGGGGTTGCCCATTCCTTGCGCTGAGGGATGCACAGGGTCCCAGTGGACTGGGGGGGCCCTCCCCCTCCCCCTCCCCCTCCCCCATGGGTGCGTCCCATGAAAATCACCAACGCCGATCCATGGCCAGCCCCTTTTAAACCATACACGCAAACCGTCAAAGCGTTTTTGGCTTCTTGACATTAAGGCCGAATGATCTCAAGAATGATCTGCGTGTAATAACTGTTTACTTGTTGCTCTCGATGAAACCCAAATAGTTTACATTCTTTTGTGTATTTCTGCTTTCCTGTTGGCTCCTTTCCCAAGTGGCGGGCGGGCGGGCGGGCGGGCTTTCAAGCTCCCCTCATCTCCCCCAACTTAACTGCTTGCAGGTTGATGAATGGAAAATGTTTTTGCTTTTATGAATTAAGCTTTCATTTCTGTAGTCAATTATTTGCTTAAGTCTTTGCCCTCCCCCCTTCCTTTTTTCCATCCCCCGTACACAAATTTCCAAACTGAGCGCAGCTCAATCCGAACCTGACTCTTGAATTCATTAGGAACCTCTTTACTCAGGTCTCCATGTCTGGGCTAAGAAATTACAGTAGTCTGGGGTCCTTGGTAGCATGGCAGGAGTTTGATTTCAAGTTCCAAGGAGGGGTCTTGCTAAACGCTTGCCGAAGTGAGCAGAAAGCCTTTTATCTTCAGGTATACGAGCTGTTGTGTTTGAAGACCTAAACCAGGGGCAGGGGAACCTCTCATGGGCAATGTCACTTGGGTTCTTCTTTTCCTGCTGCAGTTCTCTCCTGATGCCATATCAGATTACGCTTATCAAAATATTCCACAGAAGAATCTGTACATATTTTTTGGGTACAGCTTTTCAAAAAAATCTAGTTTCAGATGCATGTTCCCTGCATGTACCCAGTTTGTGTTTGCCTTCGAAATGCATGAAGGCTCCTTCATGGGGCCTTCCTGTGCTAATGTTTGCAAATACAGCAGGACACCCATATCTGCTGTCTCAGTTAACTGAGGTTGCCCCTCAGCCTGGAAAAACCATGACTATCTCTAGGGAACTATGCACCCTGTTTGGGGATGCTATGTCCTTTGTCTCGGGACTAGCCAGCCTCACTCCATGTTTTGCCTCTCACACTTATGGCGACTCAATAAAGGCAAAGCAGCCTATGGAGAGCCTGTGTGATATTGTGGTTAAGAGCGCAGGACTGGGACTCAGGTGAACTGGATTTTATTCCCTGCTCAGCCATGGAGCCAACTGGGTGACTTGGGGCCAGTCACAGACTCTCAGCCCAACCTACCTCGCAGGAGGAGGAGAATGAGGTCAGCCACTATGAGGTGGTTGAAAGAAACAAGCCAGAATAGAAATCTAATTGATTGATTGATTGACTGATTAATAGACTGATTTGCATACAGTAGTCAGGGTCCAAGTGCCTCCCTGTCAACAGAAAGGCACTGAAAAAGAGAAAGAGCAGCAAAAGAAGGTGCACCAAAAGGTGTGAGAAGAATTTCTGCTTAGCAGCGGCATGCAAAAGATTACACTGCCAAGTGGGAGAAATTGTCCCGCAGCCCTTTGAACTGACACCTTTTCAATACGGCTCCCAAGTCTTAAACTGTTCCTGGAAAGGGGAGATGTTAGTTCTTCCCCTTTTGGGAGTAGTTACTACCGGTCCTTTCCAGGCCTTAAATTAGCAAAAACTGCTTCTCCATCTGCATCTCAGAATATGTATTTGCCCGAATTTCTAGAGAGGTGTGTGTGGAAGGTGCTTGTTGGGGACGGTTGTACTCTCCAGGAACTGCAACAGCTGCAGCTGTAAGCCCCGAAAAGTTTATCTCTCCGCATAAACTGGAGAGATGAGTCTAGCCCCTTTCTGCAGGCGCAAGATGCTCAGAGAAGTGTTAAAAGATGGAGGGGCCCGAGAACTGCCAGCTCAGCAGGACTGCGAAGCAGGTGCCGCTGCTGCCTGCCCCCTGCTGGGAGCCCTGCCTGTCCCCTCCTTTGCCACCTGCTGGCCAGAGCTTTTCAACGGACCACTGCCTGAACACCAGCGGGCGCCTGTGTACATACTTGCCCACTTGCAGCTGAGACAGGTCAGAGAGCAGAGCATGCAGGACTGCACAGGTCTCAAGCAGCGTAAGCATGTCCTTGCACCCCTGCGAAGGGCTGACAAAAACAAGAATGCAAAAGGTCCCATTTTCAGGAGCTGAAACCACCCAAACCCCAGTTACACTCCGCAAAATAAAATTTGAACAGAAGCAGCTGGAGCAGGGAAGCGGAAGGCAGGTTTGGCTGCGCAGGACGGCAGGATGTGTGCTGAAGGGTGGGCGGCCTGCGGGGAGTGCGCGGGATGCCTGTGGGACGCACCAGGGGTGCTTCACAACCCACCCACCTTGGCTCCTTTGCAAGGTGGGATGTGGCAGCTTGGCTGGCTGCGCCTGCCGTCTGCATGGACAGGTGCCGCGCGGTGGTCCAGACAAAGGGTGGCACGCGGCCCCAGGATCAAGGGTAGGGATGGCTGGGCAGTGGTCAAGAGCCCCTGCCCCAGCAGGAGCCCGCTGAGGAGAGCCCCCCGGGGTGAGGGGCAGAAGCAGCGGGTGCCGGGGGTGTTGAGAAGGTTAGCTCACTAGGGGAGGGGGCCCAGTGCAGCGCTCTCGCCCGGGGGCCCACCACACCCTGGGGGTGCCCCTGGCAGCGTGGCCCAGTGGGAGTGGTGCGGCTGCAGCTGGACTGCAGGGTCGAGGCCGGCCACGCCACCCAAGGGAGAGTGGCAGGCCCAGGGACAGGGGCAAGATCGACGCTTTCTGCTTATCCGTAAGAGCACTGTGAAGTCAAGGGGAGGCCGGCCAGGCAGGCACCTGCTTGCAGGTGCTCGTTTTATGATGGCCCCACTTAAGTCTATGTTACGATTTCCTGGGAAATGTGTTCAGCATCAAGGCAGCAGACGCAAACTCCATTTTCCCCAGTGCTAGGATGGAAGTGAGCTAAAAATGCAGAACTGCACATGCTCAGGAGACGTTTAAAAGGAGACTGGGCGAAGGAGGGGCCGAAGGAGATCCTGTAGTGTAACAGGAAGGTAGATGCAGATGCAAATACAGCGAGGAGGGGGCTGGAGAGGGAAGAGGAATGTCGGGACTCCACAGCTGACTGAGGGAATGCGAAGAGCTGGTTAAAGGGCCCCTGAGGAACGTGAGGCCCACAGCAGCCCTGGTTGGCCACCGCAGCCACAGAAGGCAGGGCTGGGCATGTCTGTGGATTCGCTTAGGCGTGCCCACTTCAATTTGAACGAACCCAGATTCTTTTAACCTCCTTGCCCCATTTCCCCCATTAGAGCGTATCCCCCACGGTGGATTTGAGTTGCAAAAATGGCACAGGCAGGACCCCTCTCCTGCCTCCACGTGCTCCTTTGCAAAGCCTGTGGCCCCTGCAGCAAACGCTTTCCAGTGCCAGGAGCCCTGTGACGGTGCTCCCTTCCACTGCGCAGTGATGTGCAGCACCACACCACTGCGTGGCTTGCCCGAAGCCGCCCCCTTTGCCTGAAAGCTCAGCCCGTGGTCCTCCCTCCTCTCCTAACCCGGCTTTAGAGCACACCAAAGAGACAGCCAAGAGCGGCTGCCTTACTCCTGAACTGCAGCACTCTCCAACGGGTACCGAAGTCTAGAGCTGCTTTATCTCTAGCTGGGAGGCCGCTGGTGCAGAATGCCTGCTGGGACTGGGAGCAACGTCTGGAAGGCGCCTCCACCAGTATTTCCTTCCAGGCCTTCCAGGGCAAGGGAAGCCCTTGCACTGCCGAATCTTGGCCAGGAATAATGAAAGGATTAAGAAGAAAGCGCCTGTGAGCATGTGCAGAGTGAATCACAGAATAGTAGAGCTGGAAGAGGCCATGAAGGCCATCGGGTCCAACCCCCTGCTGTGGCAGGACACCGAGTCACACCACCCCACTCAGAAATGTGGGGGGAAGCTCAAAAGTGGCTTTGAGACTGGACTGCATGGATGGTGACCCACGAAGCCAAATGCAGTGGCGCAGGACTCGAGTGATGTGCTCCACTTGGGTACCTGCCCCCCTGCCCCATGCGCTGGTTAATGGAGCACAGCAATGACGGAGGAACCCCTTGGTGCTGGTTTCTCTCAATTGCTCGCTCGCGCTCTCTCTCTCTCTCTCTCTCTCTCTCTCTCTCTCTCTCTCTCTCTCTCTTTCTTTTTGGGGTCACATTTCTGCATTTTTAAAAAATCAGCAAAAACAGTCGTATGTCTACATTTCTCCTAATATATTCATTCCCATGCCCAGTCTTGCCTAATACACGCATTTTTGCAAACAACTTCGGATAATATTCTACATGCTTGTATGTGGTTTTAGCTTTGAAAATGCAGCACTGAGTTCCCCTGTTTGGCATTTTGGTCCGCCAGTCAGTCCTGCTTCCTTGGTATTCCATCCCATGCCACAACAGTAATGCAGCGTTCACACCGTCATGCTTGGTCCTCACTCCACTGCACAGCTTGGGTCTTATGTAGTGTGTTTTTAGCCTGTAGGGTTTCTTTCCATCCTAAATATTAATTTGCATTCTTTTTCTAAACCTTTAAACCTTATGGGTGTCTACCTTTAAAGGCAGGGTAATCATAGAGAGGCCATTCTGGAAGTTACAGGAGACATATAAACATGTCGATAAATAAATAAATACATAAATACCTAATATTAAAATAAAACCTTACAATTAATTTATCTAACTCATCCACAATATGATGCCCCCAAGTATGAAAACAGCTCTCATACATGGATGGAGCCACCGACTTCAGGAAGACTCATGTTTGGAGAATGAGTTTGCCGTTAGTGCATTGTTATTAAGAAGCCCCCCTGCCCCCCACCCAGACTGATCTTAGCCCCCTTTCAACCCCTCTCCGATCCTGTTATCTTGCCCCTCCTCTTTGATCCTCTTACCTCGACCGCTCCGGCCAACAAAGCGAAGGTCGTTAAACCGAGCCACCTGGTTCTTCATCACCGCCGAGGCATTCCGGAGCTCCGCCGAATAGTTTTCATCATTACCAGCCATGACCGTTACCACAGTCCCGTCCGGCACGTCTCCAAGGGCCACCACCTGGAAATCCCCAGCAACCAAGAAGGGTTGAGTTTGGAACGGCTGAGACAAGCACTCAGGGCTGATCTAAGGCATCGTGGACCTGAGGCCGACGACCCTCACCTTTCCCTGCAAAGAAGCACCAGTCAGCACGGGAGAGCCAAAGGCACTGGCCAAAATTTCTGCCACACGTCTCAGGGCTCTCTTGTGCACCAGTGGGCTGCAATCTTGCACGACGCGTGTGGGAGCAATGCGTACAGTCCACCTACTGTGAACTTACCTAGTTTCACATTTTAACACCAATGGGCAAAGTGATCCTCTGTGATTCACGTGCCATTGAATTTTGCAATTGAAATTTCCGAGGATAAAAATGTGTGCAGAAATACGTTGGAGGAGGGATAATATTAAGAAGTGAAAATGTATCATGTTAGGAAAAAATGCTTGTGAAATGTGTCTACTTGTGTGTACAAAACTGTGTACTTGTGTGTATAATTGTACATAATTGTGTATAACATGCACATATGAAAAGAAATTAGTCTTTAAAAAAATCTCAGCTGATGTGGAAATGGGACAAACTGAACTTAAAGCTTAGAAAAATGAGAACATGCGAAAAATCACACCAGAGAGAGTTCTTCACGCCAATCATACACAGAGGACACAGCGGCACTTACTCTGGAGTAAAAATAGGCTTTGGATTGCGATGCATGAGGAATTCACTCTTTGAACTCCCGTATGAACTAAACTGATCTGCACACACTCCACCAAACGAAAGTCCTTACTTATCCATCGGGGGTGTTGCATTTCCCAAGCGCCCTGATGCAGTTCTCAGCACAAATACATTCAAAATGCACGGTTTGAGGGAAAATACATTTAAGGTGCAATCCAGGACGGATCCCCACAATCCCTTGTACTCAGAGAATTATAGGCAAGCTACGGAGGGGGTGGGCACAGAGGCGGTCTTTTCCCCTGAACCTGGCCGCTCTCTGAAGCAGCCAGTCCTGGAGGCTTATATGTAGCCCTTTGGAGGTAGAGGGGAAGGGGGAGGTTTTGCATCTTGGCGGAGCTGGTATTGCCCCCAGATGCTCCCAAGCCCCTTCTCCAAGGTTGCTTTGCACCCTCGGAGTAGTAACCGGCTCGGTTCTTTCCACCCTGGCTGTCGGGTGACGGGGCTGGAGCACAGACCCCAGCCCTGAGGTCAGAGCAATTTCTGATCTCAGCATCTGAGAAATCCTATGGCCATCCTTAGCAATCACAGAAGTGCTCTTCCTGAAAGGCATTTTTCAGAGAGAATGTGTTTTAGATGTCTATATTTTAGAGAAAACATATTTAAAATAAGCTTGTATCCACCTTTGCACTGGAATTCAAATATTTGTACATCTGTGAATATACATATATGTGTGTGCATATGTATATGTACAGGTTGGTGTTAATATAGAAATGGGAGAAAGGGGGCTTATGGGTGAAGCAAAAGGGCAGACGGAAAAGTGACTGAGCTGTCCATTGCTGATCTGGCTGTATGTCCAGCGAAACTCAGCAGGGTGTTCTTGGTAAAAGGAGCATACAATCACAGAATGAAAGGATTTGTTTTTCGGCGCCAGGCGAAGACCTTTTATTTAAGCGGCATTTTAAATGTTAATATTATTGAATTTTATCTGGCCAGGGCGGCTTATTTTATATTGTATGTATTTTATTCTAATGTTTACATTTTTAATTTATGATTATAATTATTTAATTTATTGTTGCAAGCCGCCCCGAGGCTTCGGTGAATGGGGCGGCATAAAAATGTTTTAATAAATAAATAAATAAATTTAAAAGGATTTAAAAAATTCTAAATAGAATTTTAGCAAAGAAAATTAATGAGAAAAAATGCAATTTTTCTCAGTTATTTGAAACACAAGGCTATGATGTGTACAGACATTTACATATGTGCGTGAGAGAGAGAGAGAGAGAGAGATTAGTAGAAGTGCAATTTCAAAATAAACTAAGTCATTTGTGTATTTCTGCTCTATTTTAACTTAACTGCACCCAGAGCAGATCCAGATCTCCTTATCTCTCTGTTTCGGTGCCCCTTGACACCTCCCTCGGCATGAGGTGCACACATACATGAATAATAAACACTAACTATAAAATGCACCCATGTTCAGTGATCGATCTTTTTATTAGTTAGGTGAATGGCTTAAGTGAAAACAAGGTGATTCGAATCAATAGTTGCTGCTAAGGCATTGACCTAAGCCAGCTGGGAAAAGGCCTCTTCACGGCACGATGGCTTGTGATCCCCGCAGCCAGAGGCCATGCCCCATGTTAGCTGGGAGTTGGCCCCCCTTTGCTGCCCAGAGCGCTAAGCACAGAGCTTTCCCTCGCTGCGAGGCAGGCCTCTGGCCCTTTCTAGCAAACCCGCCTTCGGGGGGAGGCTGGGCATGCACGACTCTGCTCCTCTCCCCTCCTCCCCAAGGTCCCCCCCTCTCTCCCGTGCGACTAGGGTTGTGGTGCACCCTCAGAAGAGAGGCCGTGGCAGCACCTTCGGCGGCAGCTGTGAGGGCTGGGTGTGGGACCCACAACATCTGCCCCACCCTGTGGCTTCTCAGACAGCGCCAGAACACCAGCGGGAGTGTAGTGCCCAACACCAAGCAACGCTTCGTATTGCTACTCCCCAAGGAATGCTGCAAATTTGTCTACTAAGCCGTATGGACGTCCAACAAGAACGGAGTATGATTGCCAGTACAGTTCCACTCTTACAGCCGCTCCTTTCAACTCCCTGCAGACATTTTGCTGGCTTTTCTCTCTTTCTCAACCTGTAGGGCGTGTGTGTGGTCTTTAAATTAGCCCCCAAAGGGTTCTGCTTATGACTAGCATTCACGGTGTTGCTGCTCCTGCTGTTCTTACGTGTCATCAAGTCATCTTTGACCCATGGCGACCCTACGAGTGAAAGCCCTCCAAAACATCTGGCCCACCACATCTCTGTTCAGCTCTTCCAAGTTCAAGGCTGTGGATTCCTTGATGGATTCAGGCCATCGCATAGTTTGTCTCCTGCCTTCAACTTTTGTCAAAACCCCCTTTGGACTCCTGCCTTCAACTTTCCCTGACATGTTCGCCTCCTCCAGGGAGTTTTGCCTTCTCATGATGCATCCCAGGTTCAACAGCCTCAGTTTGGTCATTTTTGCTGCTAGGGAAAGTTCTGGTTTTACAAAGCTCTCCTCCAGCACTGTTCTGAATGCATAATTTTTCCCCATCAGCTTTCTTCACTGCCCAGCTTTCACACCCATACATTGTGATCAAGAATACAATAGCCTGCATGATCTTGACCTTGGTATCTAGTAAAATGTCATTCATGACAGCTTTAAGATCAGGACCTGTGTTCTGACAATTTTTTCTCCCTCTCCCTCCTTTCCGCCCAACCTTTTCTCACATTGCTTCTTTCTATTTCACTCTGATCTGGCACAACCTCACTGTCTCAAAATATAAAACGGCAAACAAAAATAAAATTCTGATGATCAATAAATAGCCATAAAGGTTGAGAGCTGCTGGACAGAATGGAGCAGTTTATTTCTGTCACCTGAAACTGAGCAGCATTTGATAGTAAGAGTATAAAGATTCTTATTCCAAAAGGATCGGATTGCTTTTTTATTTGCATAGAAAATAATATATATCTGGGGCAGATTTAAAATGTGGGACTATTTTGCAAAGCCCCAAACAGCTCAGAATCGATACTTGACCTGCCTGTGCGTTTGGGTGCCTCCTGTGACATCCAAGGCTTTGGCGTTCCTTTCCATTATGGGAAAGGAATTTGCCTCTCTTTGCAACTCCTGACCACTGCAAATTAAGACAGAGTCAAAACCTCTGGGCTTTTCAAGGACGTCTGCAAACCTACTTGTCCAGATATGCTTTCCCACAGCAGTTGCCTTTCTTTTGCCTTTTCTAAGTTTTAGGCAGTATTTTATGATTGTATGCTTCACAAACTGCTCAGAGTTTTATTTTAAGTGGAAGCAGTCCATTGCTTCTGTATAGCCCGCAGTGCCTGATCCTGCCTAATCTTGGAAGCTAAGCAAGGCTGGACCTGGTTGAAGTCTGAATGGGTGGCTTACACACTGTGAACCACCCAGGCAGCTCCGGCCTGTGGATGATATGGAAATGTAATGAATAATAATAAATATCAGTTAATAAATAAATCAATTAGAAAAAATGCCATTAGTGCAATCTGGTCAAGGCTTTGATGCTGCCATTCAGAATGTTTAATATCAGTCTAGTTATTCTTTGCCTGAGAGTGATATTTACCATTTTTACAAACTTATTTTTTCTGCTTTTCTTTTTTTAAAACAGAAGCAATCACCCCCCCCCCTTCCTCCTCTCCTAGCTGGCCTTTGCAACAGGGCACAGGCAGAAGGCTCCTAACTCCAAAGTCTGTTGTCTATCCAGAGCGCAAGACATAGAACTATACGCTGACCATGCAGCCAGACATAGGCAGGTTGTCGGAAGAGAAAGGCCGACAACCTGCAGCATCTCTTAGCTGGCATGGCTGGCCAGGAAACACTGGGAGCTGCAGAACTTTTTCTTGTTGTTTAAAAAATAAAGAGGGTTTCTTTCTTAGGGTTTCACCCTTCATCCTCCACCTCATCTTCCCCTGTGATGTCCACTGTGTTACTGGGGCTATTGGCCAATTCAAGAGCTTATTGATGGTTATTTGCCTTCTTGCTCGACTGAAACACACACACATATTTTCCAAACCTTAGTGGGAGCTTGTTGAATGTAGAGACAACCTGGAGGGCATAATTCTAACCCAATTAAGGATGTTTAAATTCCTGTTGCTTTCAGTAGAAAAAAGAAAAGAGAATGCATTTCGTTTTCCTGTGGAAAACAATGGGAGTTAAAAAGCATCTGACTGCATCTGGATCATGCCCGTCCAGTTTAAGAAATAAATGGAACCACCTGCTGTATGAAGTCATGGCACAGGAGAGCAACAGCATCAGGGCAGGTTTTGGTCTGAAGGCATGTGAGGCAGCTACCAGGCTGAAGCTAAGCAGGTC